ACCACTGGGGCCAATTCAACCATTCATTCATGCAACATATACTGATTGAGCTTATACTGTGTGCTACACCCTGTGGATACAAGATGGATAAAACAGCCCCTGCCCTCTGGATTCCAGCGCTGGCATTCTAAGATTCTAGTTGGGAATTGCAGAACGGGGAGGAGGGGTTGAGGAGAGTGAAGCTGGTAAGGCTACAACCAAGCTTCCTGACTTCCAGCCCTGGGTGCTTGCCAAAGTGCTTGCCATTCTCCATCCCTTTCTCTACTGGCTCACCGAAGGCAGCTGCCTCCAACAGCCACGGTGAGCCTTAGAGAAATAGCTACTGACTTGCTCTGTGACTTAGACGCGTTGCGGCTCATCTCCCGGCCTCAGTTTCTCCATCTGTAGAATGCCCCGGTTGAACTAGAAAATGATAGGCTTTCCTTCCAGGGCTGGCACTCAGAGAGGCTAAGACTCCATGATCGAGGAATGTCTGACCCGGCCATTCCGGAGCTGTTCCATCGAATTCCAAGCAGCCCCACTCCCTCCTTTCCCCATCCCGGTCAGGGGCGGGCGCTGGAGCCAGCAGGCCGGGAGGGCCTGGGCTTCCCGCCCGGGAGGTGGAGCCGCTGCTCAGCGTCCCGCCCCTCCACCTGGGGCTCGGCCCCGGCAGATGTTACAACTTTTTCGAATTCTCTCCCGCGGTGTCCCCTCGACCCGCCCAACTCCCTCCCCTTCCCCGCTGGGGTCCTGCCCACCTCCCTGCAGGGAGCTGGGTTGTTGTAAGGACTCCGGGTGGGGCGAGAGGCCGGGAAAGCAGAGGCGAGAGAAATTAGGAGGCGGGAGAAATCCAGGGCAAGAAGGAAGAGGGGAGTCAGAGGATGGTAGAGAGCACTTTCTGGAAGCCGCCACGCCGCGTCTCAGGCTGGCCGGGCTGAGCTGGGGAAGAGGGAGCAAAGAGGGAGCAGGGCCGGCGCTCAGGCAGCGGGAGGCAGCTCGGCGCGGGCCTACACATCTAGATGTGTATAAGAGACAGACCTGTCCTGGGACTGGGCCAAACCGAGCCTCGTGGCCGACTGGCCCGGGGAGGTCGGTGAGCAGCGCTCAGCCGCTCCGCCCCAGCCTCCCCACATCATTTTCATTCTCACGGACGACCAAGGCTACCACGACGTGGGCTACCATGGTTCAGATATCGAGACCCCCACGCTGGACAGGCTGGCGGCCAAGGGGGTCAAGTTGGAGAATTATTACATCCAGCCCATCTGCACGCCTTCGCGGAGCCAGCTCCTCACTGGCAGGTAGGCGTGGCGCAAGGCCCCGGGGCTGAGCATCTAAGCCCCAAATCAATCCAGTTTGTAGATTTCTCCTGCCAGTACCACCCCGTGCTGGGGTCTGGGAAATCTCCTATTGGCTGTGTAATCATTAGTAAGTCCCTTACCCTCTCTGAACCTCAATTACCCTTGCCTTACACTGAATGGGCTTCATCATCTTTGAGGTCTTCTTGCTTTGATGTTCCAGGACACTCACATTCCACACAACGTGGAGACATCTGGTCATCCCTTTGTTAGAGGAACATGGCAGCCTCTGACATTTATTGCTGCTTCTATTTATGGACACTGAGACCCTGAGCAAGTCATTTAATTTCTCTAAGCCTCAGTTTTCTTGTCCATAAAATGGAGCAAAGAACAGTTTTCACCTTGAAAAAGAGTGGCAGCGGTGGAATGATTTGTATGTAACCTGCTTGACTGTCAATGTGTGGTAGCCTCTATGTGTCCTGAGGGATTGAGGTCCCCATACTGTTTGATGAATACATTGGGAGAAGACCAAGGAATTGATAGGTGGAAGAGAAAGACACATAGGGTACCACGACCTGTGTAGCCTTAGAGTGGTTACTTCGTTTCTCTGAGCTTCTGTTTTTTCATCTGCAAAATCCTCCCAAGTTGGCTGGGAGCCCCAAGCAGACATGCTGCTTCCTCCATAAGGAAATGTCCACAGGCGAGGCATCAGGATTACAGGATTAAAAGAGCAGGGAAACAGGAGGTGGGGGTATGGAAGGCAAACTCTGGCCACTTAGGGGAAAATCCTTTGGCAGGGCTGAAGTTAATTCTCCTTGGATGGGGTCCAAGGCATGCTTTCTCCCAAGTTCCACCCAAGAGCCACTAGTGTGATCTTAGGAACCAGAAACCTTAGTCTCCCTGTTTCTTAGTCTATTTCTTGGATGGGAGAAATTGAGACAAGGACTCAGGGAGGGCCCAGCTTGGTTCCCCTTGGCCTACTTCAGGGTCTGTGGGAGATAGAATTGAGAGGCCAGATGTTTGGCAGGGGTCCTGGAGCTGGGAATCAAATGGTGCCCTTTCTTCCTTCGATCTGGCACCCAGTGTTTAGATCCAGGAGCCGGAAGGAGAACAGAAGAAAGAAGGAGGGGCGTGGGATGTGTATGAGTTGGAGTGGTGGTGCAGGATGGTGGTGTAGTGGTGAAGACGAATGCTGACCTGCAGAAGAGGGAGGAGGATTGGGAGGCCGAGACGGGCGGATCATGAGGTCAGGAGATCGAGACCATCCTGGCTAACACGGTGAAACCCCGTCTCTACTAAAAAGTACAAAAAACTAGCCGGGCGAGGTGGCGAGCGCCTGTAGTCCCAGCTACTCGGAAGGCTGAGCCAGGAGAATGGCGTAAACCCGGGAGGCGGAGCTTGCAGTGAGCAGAGATCCGGCCACCGCGCTCCAGCCTGGGTGACAGAGCGAGACTCCGTCTCAAAAAAAAAAAAAAAAAGAAGAGGGAGGAGGAATCTGCATTCCCAAGAGTTGTACACAACTTAGTGTTTCTGTCCTAAGAGGTGACTTTTGGTTTAAGTAGCGAAATGAGCAGACAGCAGCAGGGCAGTGCTTCAGTCCCCTGATCTGCGAAGTAACTGAACGTGGCTGGTCAGTGCCTGCCCTCCACCCCCTGCAGCTGGCTCCATCTCATTGATGCTCACAGCCCTCATTAGTGTTTGTTAACACATCCAGTTGTGTTTTGTGACGCTGGAGAGAGGCAAAGTTTCTCATGTGACTCACTTGCAGATGGGCTTTGGTGACTCTTGGCTGGCCCATCCACTTTACAAACCAGCATTCCACGGCACCCCACCTCTATGAAGACAGGCCCAGTTGGGACTCAAGGCCCTAGGGTACTTCTCATATCAAGTCCTATAATTTATTAGCTTGATTGAGGCCTGGAGAGGCCGTTATCACCAAAAGATTTTGAGCATGAGTTGAGTAGACCCGGGTTCAAAGTTTGGCTCCATTGCTTGCCGGCTGTCTGAACTTGGGTCATTGCTGCTCTTTTGGGGGCCTTGGTTTTATCATCTGTAGAATGGGGCTGGTAATAGACTTCCCTATAGGTTTTTAAAATGAGAATTAAGTGAGATAATGTATGTATGTGGTGCCTAGTGTTAAAAATGGCAGTAGTAGCTAATTATAGGTAACAACAATAACAGTTTTAAGATAAGGAAACCAAAACAGAGAAACTCACTTCTGTGCTCTGATTAAAGATGTCAAGAGTTCAGGGCTTGTCTTAATTTGGATGCCTCGGGGTGAGAAAAAGGTGTGGGATTCTAACATACTTGTGAAGTTTCAGGCTTCTTATTTACTCTGGGACTTTCAAGACTTGAGTAAAGGCAAGACACCATAAGCAGATCACATGGGAGTCTTGACCACAGAAGGGGGAAGATGGGATATGAATGGATAAATGAGGAATTCAGGATTCACCTAACTATTTACTCCTGCCTCAGGATGATAGCCTGGATCAAGGGGTCATATGAGCTCACAGGCAGGCACATTGGAACTGGTCTTAAAAAACTGGGAAGCTAGACGAGTCTTGGAGATTTCCCATTTCAACCAACTCCTCTACAGGAGCAAACTGAGGCCCCCATGTGTGAAGAGATACGGCAGCCCAGTTTGCTGAAAAAGAGTCACTGTTTAGACTCTGCTTGGAACCAGGACTTGGTTCAAGTCCTGGCTCTGTTCCTGACCACTGGGTGACCTTGGGTAAGGCCCTTCCCCTTCCCTTAAAAAGACCTTAGGTTCTTTTTAAGATGAGGTGAGTAAACTAGAGAATGAATTGGGTCCCTTCTGGCTCTAAAACCCTTTCAGTGTCTTTCATTCATTCATTTCATAAATAATTGAGTGCTCTTTGAACATCACTTGGATGCTAGGAATAGAAGGTTGAATAAAGGACAGCCCCATCACATGTCCCTGGGCACAAGAGCATGTGCAAACGAGTATAATCCCACGGCCAAGTAAGAAAACGATGGTGTGTGCTAAATGCTAAGGGGACCCAGAAGCAAAAGTGACTAATTCTTTGGGAGAGTTACGAAAGACTTTATAGCATGGATAACATTTGGGCTGAGCTTTGAAGAGTGAGTAAGAGTTTGCCTGGGAGAGCAGGACTTGCTCTAGGCCCCAGAGCAAGTTAATAGCTTAGAGCTTAGGGACTCTGAAGCCTGGAGCCAGACTGCCTGGGTTACAAATCCCACTCCGACTACATGTGAGTCACCCGGCAAATAATTTAATTTACCAAGCCTCAGTTCCCTTATTTGGAAAATGGGAACAATAATATGTACCTCCAAATTTGTGGTGAGGATTTAGTAAGATAATTCACATAAGAGGCTAAGTGTAATGCCAAGCTCACAGTGAGTGCTCGGTATTAGCTATTATTATTGTCATTATGACCCTGGGTTCGACTTTTAACTCTCCAACTTCATAGCTGTGTGATCTTAGGTGAGTGGCTTAGCCATTCTGAGCTTCAATCTCCTCATCTGTAAAATGACAATATGATCTACTCCCAGTGATTTTGAGGATTCGATGAGATAATGCATTTGAGGTGCTTAGCACATTTGATAATACCTGGTGGTTGCTGCTATTATTTTTGCTGGTAGTGCTGGGACCACAGCCCACCTCACAGTGGTATTGGGGACTGGATGGCCAGAGCAATGGTCTGTAGCTTACCTGTGCCTTCTGTGCCTTCCCCTCCTCCCCACCAGGTACCAGATCCACACAGGACTCCAGCATTCCATCATCCGCCCACGGCAGCCCAACTGCCTGCCCTTGGACCAGGTGACACTGCCCCAGAAGCTGCAGGAGGCAGGTTATTCCACCCATATGGTGGGCAAGTGGCACCTGGGCTTCTACCGGAAGGAGTGTCTGCCCACCCGTCGGGGCTTCGACACCTTCCTGGGCTCGCTCACGGGCAATGTGGACTATTACACCTATGACAACTGTGATGGCCCAGGCGTGTGCGGCTTCGACCTGCACGAGGGTGAGAATGTGGCCTGGGGGCTCAGTGGCCAGTACTCCACTATGCTTTACGCCCAGCGTGCCAGCCATATCCTGGCCAGCCACAGCCCTCAGCGGCCCCTCTTCCTCTATGTGGCCTTCCAGGCAGTACACACACCGCTGCAGTCCCCTCGTGAGTACCTGTACCGCTACCGCACCATGGGTAATGTGGCCCGGCGGAAGTATGCGGCCATGGTGACCTGCATGGATGAGGCTGTGCGCAACATCACCTGGGCCCTGAAGCGCTATGGTTTCTACAACAACAGTGTCATCATCTTCTCCAGTGACAATGGTGGTCAGACTTTCTCGGGGGGCAGCAACTGGCCGCTCCGAGGACGCAAGGGCACTTATTGGGAAGGTGGCGTGCGGGGCCTAGGCTTTGTCCATAGTCCCCTGCTCAAGCGAAAGCAACGGACAAGCCGGGCACTGATGCACATCACTGACTGGTACCCGACCCTGGTGGGTCTGGCAGGTGGCACCACCTCAGCAGCTGATGGGCTAGATGGCTACGATGTATGGCCGGCCATCAGCGAGGGCCGGGCCTCACCACGCACGGAGATCCTGCACAACATTGACCCACTCTACAACCATGCCCAGCATGGCTCCCTGGAGGGCGGCTTTGGCATCTGGAACACCGCTGTGCAGGCTGCCATCCGCGTGGGTGAGTGGAAGCTGCTGACAGGAGACCCTGGCTATGGCGATTGGATCCCGCCACAGACACTGGCCACTTTCCCGGGTAGCTGGTGGAACCTGGAACGAATGGCCAGTGTCCGTCAGGCTGTATGGCTCTTCAACATCAGTGCTGACCCTTATGAACGGGAGGACCTGGCTGGCCAGCGGCCTGATGTGGTCCGCACCCTGCTGGCTCGCCTGGCCGAATATAACCGCACAGCCATCCCGGTGCGCTACCCGGCTGAGAACCCCCGGGCTCATCCTGACTTTAATGGGGGTGCGTGGGGGCCTTGGGCCAGTGATGAGGAAGAGGAGGAAGAGGAAGGGAGGGCTCGAAGCTTCTTCCGGGGTCGTCGCAAGAAAAAATGCAAGATTTGCAAGCTTCGATCCTTTTTCCGTAAACTCAACACTAGGCTGATGTCCCAACGGATCTGATGGTGGGGAGGGAGAAAACTGTCCTCTAGATGTTCTTCCCCACTCCGGCTTGGCCCTGCTCTTTCTCAGGGATAAGCCTGTCACGTCTCCATCTACAGGGAGTTGGAGAGTGTAGAGTCCCTTGGTTGAACAGGGTGGGGAACCTGGTTGGGGGTGGGTGGGAATAAACCAGACTGGGATGCCTGCGTCTCAGTCCTGCCTCCTCACCGACTTGCTCTGTGACCTCAGGTGACCAACACGAGCTTTTGGCCTCAGTTTCCTCCTCTGTAAAATGAGCTCTAATGACTTTGTGACTCTTTGGTGTGGCCCTGGAGCCTGGGGCCACGGTGGAGTTCCTCGGCCTTGCCACTTGACAACCCTTAAAGGGCTTCCTCCTTAACACAGGATCTCTATGGTGGTGTTTGGGTGAGGGCCGCCTGGAGTCAACCCCCAGCTAAAGCATGGCAGTCTGACTGCTCTCTACAGGGACCTCCTGAGCACTGTGGGTGGAGGTGCAGGGGTCGGGGGGTTGACCTTCGTGGCTCTTCACATGGCCTAGGCCAGTCCTCGGGTCAGACTGGTGTCAGGCACTGTAGTGCAAAGTTCCTCTTCTGGCCCCTCCAGTACCCAGAGAAATTGGCTGGGCCATTAATGGCTGCAGCACCAAGGGTGGTGGAAACAGCTGTGAAGAGCCCCCAAACCAGTACCGGGACACCTGGGTTCTCCCGTGACCTTGGGCACAGTTCTTCCCCTCTAGGCCTTGATTTCCCCACCTGCGAGTGGGGATGCTAGCCCTGGCTCTGCCTCCCTCATGAGGCTCTGGAAGACTGGCCAAAGCCAGATTGTAGAGGAGCTTGTGAACTTGATTAAAGTGTCATAACTTGGAAGTGAGGGATGCAGTGCTGTCCGACTATGAGCAGGTGTGGGTGTGTGCTTGTGTGTCCTGGGGGCAGGTATGAGCTCACTGTTGGCCAAGTGAACAGGAGAGGAGGTGGACAGCCTGGCTAGAAGGTAGGGGGATGGGAGTCCTGCTGCAGACCCACTCTGTGACCTCAGGCACATCCCTGACCCTCTCTGGGCCTCAACATCACACTATGTTCAGTGATGATCTAAGAGCACTTCCCATTTGGCCATTCTGGGCTAGTGTGCGTGTGTGTGTCTGTGTTTGTCTCTCTGTGTGTGTGTGTGTGTGTGTGTGTGTTGGGGTAGGGGGCAGGCTGAGTGGTGGGGAGTGGGCCACGGGGGTTGCCGAGCCCGCCTGCCGCTTAGTGCGCCTCCATCCGTACACTGCGTTCTGCATATCTCCCTTCAGGTTCCAGTCGGCGCAGTGTGTGTAGGCGAAAGCCCTGCTGTGAATTTTGAAAATAGTTATTTTTGTCACTGGCAAAGGAGGCCTGTTAGGACTCATCAGCTTGTGGATGAGCAGGATGGGTGGGGTGGGGTGGGTGCGGTACGTGTGGGGGTTCAGGTATTAGTTACAGAGCTCCATCCCCACTGCAGAGGTGGCTGAGTCCAGGAGTGAGGGTCTGGCCTGAGGCTGCTGGGTGGAGGTGACCATTCATGCTCTAGGCCCCTTCCTCCTGGTCCTGTTCTTTTTACCCCTTATCACCTCCCCCAACTAGAATCTTTCCCTGCCTCTATGATGTTGATGCCCAGCTGTGTGGTGGGGCAGGAGCCAGGACAGGCAGAGGCCTCTGGATTCCGGTGACCTCCAGCATTTCAGTCTGCCTGGGAGGGAGGCTCTGAAGAAGTAAGTCACCTGTTAGGGCGGTGGCCCAGGCCTGACACACCCTAGGAGATGAGCTGTCCATAGTTCGCCCACTCCTCAGGGTACTCTAGCTCTGCTGGGTGCTTGTCCCAGCTGTGTGGGCGGGGCCTTTCCAGGGTGGCATGGAGCCAAGGCTTCCCTGCCGCTCCAGGCTTGCACGAGTTGTATGGAGGCCTCTCCCGTGCCTGCTGAGTCAGCCCTGCCTGGGGCCTACCCTCCAGCTCCAGCCCCCACTTCTCTCCCGGTGCCCCTGCCCTTTGGCACCACAAGTGCAGAACCATGAATGGCCCTTTCTGCTGTCCCCTAATCACTGAGGCTTACTGTCTGTGACCAACCTAAACCAAGAAAGACCAGCTGGGGTCGGGGCTGGCACCTGTTCCTGGTGCCCTGAGAAGGAGACTTGGCCTCAGGTCTCGGTCCAGTCTCAAATCCAGCCCAGAGCTTGCCTAGCTGAGTCCTACCCAACCCAGCATCCAGCAAACAGCCCGGTGGCCCCACGCAAGCTTGAGCCTGCAACTTGGTCTAGAGAAGCTCATGGCTGGCCTAGGCCTGAGATTAGTGGAGGGTCTTTGGTGCCCCAGAGCACTCAAGCCCAATGACAGGCTCAGCCTGTGGTGATTTCTGCTCTTTCCAGCAATCAGCATGGCTCCCGCCAGCCCCCTCCCATCTCCTGTGGCCCAAGTTTCGTCTAGCCGGGGCACCTGGGTTTAGACTCTGTGACAGGCTGCCAACTGGCACTGCCAGGCAGGTGCTTGTACCATTTGAGCATCTGTGCTGGTGTGGAGGGAATGGAGGGCAGATCAGAGGCAGCTCCGGCCCCTCGGGCCACAGATCTGGGGAAGTCGAGCCGAGAGATGCCTGGTGAGACCCCCTGTTTCTCCCTTGGCTGCACCAGATGGCAGCTGATCTGCCAGCTACAGGGGCCAGAGCCAGGGAGCAGCCTGTCCAAGCTGGGCCCTGCCAGTGGAGTCCTGGGCTCTGGTAACCCATTTCCCAAGGGCCAAGAGATAGCCCACACCTGGATGGAGGGCCAGTGCTCTGGACTCCATCTTTCTCAGGAGGAAGTAGAGGTTCCACTGGGGAGACTTCCTGCAAGCTCTTCCAGGACTCGAACTCAGGTCTTCTAACTGCAGGGAGTGCGGTGCGGCCCTTGGCCCAGTAGCCATTGTCCTCTGTCCCATGGCTCTCTGCTTCACTCTCCCCTGCAAGGAGTGCCTTCTGTGTGGGAGAACTCATTGACAGTGCTGCTCCCTGATCCCTGACGTCCCCACTTCTTCATGTAGGCCCAGCCTTACTTACTGCAATGAATAAACCCAGTCCCCCTCCACCCAGACCCTCAGCAGAACCATTTCTCTCTTGGTCCACTTTCCACCAATTCTGGCCCCCACGCTCACTGCCCTTAGTGGGACAGGCCCCGTGGGGATCCTTTGGATGGCACGCTTTCTGTGGTACCTGCCCAGGCCCTGCAGGACCTTGAGGCACTTGGGTATATGTGTGTGAGCACGTGTGAGAGCTGTGGAAGGTGGGATTTGAGTTGGCTGTCACAATGCCACTGGGGCTACAATCACCCATGCAGGAACCCAGCCCTGGTCACTTTTCATCCCTTCTGTCTACGTGGGGCACTGCCTGTGTTCACATGCCAATCCCTATTCTGGCATGTCAAGGCTGCGTTCAGCAACCTCCAGGGCTCCGACCCCTGGCCACCAGCCCATAGCATGCAGGCCTGCTCTCAAATACCACATGCGTGCTGCAGACGGGGGCACACGTGCTGCCTCTCGTGTCTGCCTTGGCCCTGGGGAGTGGGGAGTTTGGCAGGAACAATCCCCCTGATGCAATCATCGGCTCATTCTCTCAGCACCACAGAGGCACGGCTTGCTCCTCAGTGCCCGCCACCACCCGGCACAGCTGCTAGCCCGGCGGGCTCAGGGGAGGTGGTGAATTAGCAGTCATGCCTTCTCAGCAGAGTGGCTATTACCCTCAGGAAGGTGGGGGGTGCCTGTCCGAGGCGGTGCCCACACTGCTGAGTTAGGCTCCAGAAGGCTCAGAGGGGTATGTGTGTGCTCATGTGTAAGACTTTCAGAGGGAGCTTCTTCCTCTTCTCCCTCCTCTTCCTCTCTCTTCCACCTCTCCAGTCATCTCTCCACTATCGGGATCCTGCAGCCCTTGACTTGCCTATCCCCCAGGACTGCATGCACAGTGCAGGACAGCAGGGGAGGGAGAGAAGAGTGACAGAAAGAGAGGGAGATGGAAACCAGAAAGGAAGTAAGAAGGATGAGAAAGATGGAGAACTGAGAAGGAAGGATACAAAGGAGGGAAGAGGAAAAATGAGGGAGAGGGGAAGGCAAGAGGAGAGAAGAAAGAAGAGTTGAAAGGAGCGATGGGAATAGGGAAGAAAGACAAAGGTGACAGGAGCAGGGCTGTGCTGGCCCTGCTCCCAGCAGCCGCAGAGGCTGCCCCCATGGTCCACATCACAGACAGGGAGAGAGGTGGCCATCTGCCTGCCTCCACTCCTTCACACCTTCCTCTGAGGGACCCGATGCCAGGGCCTTCCCCACGTGCTCTGCTCACTTCTAAGCCTGCTCCATTTCATCAGTGGGAATGGGGAGAGGAAACGGGTCAGGCCAGCACCCAGCCACACAGGACTGCCCCAGTTCAGAACATTAGATTTCCATTAATACAGCCTCATAGTCTCACAGCATAGTTGCTTTTTGTTTTACTGTGAACTTTTAAAACAGTATCATCATTCCTTTGGCACCCGATGAGCTGGAGAGCCTTGTGGTTCCTCTCCTTCCAGCTCTAGTTCTTTGTTCTACAGAAATTGCTGCGAACTAGGCTTAGACAAGGTGATTTCCAAACCACGAGCTAAACTCTAGTGCAGACTAAGGGAACGGTGCCCTGAAGTGCCGGGACTCAAGATGATGGTGTGTGCTTCTGTGATTCAGGGAGAGGTGTGTGAGGGGAGAGGACTTTTGAGTTTCTCGATAGTAATTTCCCATTTATTGAGCATTTATAGCGTCAGCCGCTGTGCTTGTCTCATTTAATGTACAGAACAGCCTGGAGGTAGGGAATATTATTGACCCAATTATGCAGATGAAGACACAGAGGCACAGAGAAGTTAGGATATTCATCCTAAATTACATAGCCTGTACGTCGTGGAGTCACCCTAACTACTAAGCAACACTGCCTCTCCTGTCCCTGTGCGATGGCAGGTGGCCTCAGTGGTCACTAAGGGCTCTTGCAGCACTTTCTTGTGTGGAAGCCATCCCCTCCTGGGGGACAGGCTAGAGGGTCTGGGGCAGGAGGGTGGCAGTGCAGCCCTCCCCCACCTCCCCACATAGTCCCGTAGCTTGGCCACCGTGTTCTGTGCCCTGCCTGCTGCCCACCGGCTGTGCGGCCCCCGGGCCCAGGCCTCTCTTCTCTGCCTCTGAATTGCAACGTTGGCGGCTGAAGCGGGAAGCATATTGTGCGCAGAAACAAAACTGAGTGGTTTTCCCTTTTTCCGAAGGTGGTAATGGTGCAATTAGTGGCTAAGCCATTACCCCCCTCCTCCCTTGCTCGCTTCCCCTCTTCCCTCTGCCGCCCTCCCTTTCCTCTGCTGGGAATGGTGGCTGAATGGGAGAGCTCACCCTTCGTTCTCCCCTAAACCCCACTCCCAGGAAGAGGGGCAGAATTGGGGGGGTTATCCGGATGTCTCCAGGGGACCCCTGGAAGTAGGGTAGTGAGTCAGGGTCTTCGTGGGATTGGAGAATACCAATAAGCAGATACCATGTCCTACAAGTGAGAGGACTAGCAAGGTGATGTGGAGGTTCAGAAGGGGTGGGCTAGAATCCCCGAGGGTCTGGATGCCTGGATCCTTTTAGCCAACCCATGCTCACTGGGGGCAAGTACTGGCATGAAACCTCTGCCCATCAAGCTGCGAAATGGGCCAAGGACCGTTTCTCCTGAGTGGATAGGGGAAGGGGTATGTAGGGTCTGAGATTCCAAGTCCAAGATAGAGTGATGGGATGGTCATGGGCCTGCTGTAAACCTTCATTTTCCTCCTCTGGAGCCTAGAAAGAGGCCTCCTGTTTACATGGTTCCCAAAGGCCTTCACAGCCCTTAGCCCACTCCATCTCCACAGCCT